ATTAAAAACCTATCCTAGCCCATATGCGTAACATACTGTTGCGAACAATTGTTTTTGCGCATGAAAAATATCCAGACTGCCGAAAGAAATAGGTTGAGTGATACACATATTGATACAGTTCGATTCCGTAATTCGCAATCTTCTCCTCTCGAGTCTTAGTGAACACTTCGAAATAGAACCTCTATATCAATCCTAGCTTAATAATTACACTATCTCCTACGTACTTGTAAAATTAAACTTAATTTTGAATTTTTGGATCTTTCTCCCTTATGCGGCATTCGGCGAGGTTCAACTTCAAGCAGTGTTTTTTTTCCAGCTTATTAATTTATGAGATCAAATTATCTCACCTGTAATATTTTATGCCGACGATATTAAGTTGATGAACCATAACTCTAATGCCTTTCGGACTGATTTACACCTTTTGACTTCCCTTCTGGGAAATGCTAATCTTAAAATTAATGTCCAAAAAACTGTAATATGTTTTTCGCTAATTCGTAATACTCTGTTGTCCGCCCGTATTCATATACTTACAATAATCCCATAAAATATGTTAATTCTTTTAATAGCCTCGGGCCATTTTCGATCCCAAATTTACATTCCAAGGAGACGTCGACAAAATCTTTAATTGTCTAGCTATTCGTCGCGGAATTCTTTGGCGTTTTTGCGAAACAGTTTCTTCTAAAACGACATTAAGATCCATTTATTTCGTCAACATTCGGTCTTATCTGCCAATATGGACTTCTGCCGCCTCTTTCCATTTAGCAAAAATATTAGAATTAGATAAAATATTTCTTATTTTAAAGAAACTCTCTAATATTCCTTTTACCCCTAATGCTAACGTTGCTAGGTCAAGATGAGGAATTCCTAGTTTTTAACGGTTACTTTATACACGATTTATCCTTTTTCTCCTATTCCGCTTTTTTAAAATCTAACACGTAATCGGTTCAGACACCGCTATTTTGTAGGAATTATTACATTCGCAGGCTCCAAAAATACTCTAGCCAATCAACAACTTTATTTCACCCCGATGCATTGCGGAAATTACAATATCTCCTTCCTATGCGGGTTTTCTTTCATACTTTCACATTAAAACCATTTTTTCCCCGTGTTCTTTTCGGTAATCGTACTTCATAATCCACAGTCCACGCCGTAATTATTTCCAGCAAGATATCTTTCGTATTAAAAAATGTACTCAAATTCTCGGATGACGCGATAAGTTTAAAGGTTATCTTCCTCGAGTATGTATTAAGGCGCAATTTTCCGGTAAATAAAGTCTTAAACTGTCAGTTATAAGAGGAGGAGGAACATTGAAGATTGCACGATACCGAGTAACGTAGATGCTATTTTATTTTAGAAATTAGTGCGTAAGGCAATATGACATAGATCGCATTGAGTGGATACGAATAACGCGTATAAAAAAGTTGCATAGAATAAATTACGCTAAGGTATAATTTAAAAATCTCTTTAAAAAACTAAGAAATGCACAAAGTTTGCGAAAACGGCTAGAGAAATCTCCATCCGTTTTATTTAAATAGCTAAATCGCTAGATTAACCGATTATTTATTTAGATGTTATCTCGTTAGATAAAAAGTTTTTAAAATAATTAAAGTTTATCGCATCATCTACGCCGGTCACTAACTAATTTTCTTAATGTCAATTAGCAAATTGCGCATCATTATCGTTATCAATTTCTCTAATCGTGTACTGCGAAGGCATTTAAAATTAATATTGAACCAGTTTAATCGCTTAAATTTACTATTTTTAATTGACTAACGTACGGTAAACCAAGCAGAAAAATATATTTATATAAATACTTTACAGAATTCAAAGAATTGTAATCCATTGTTCTTCCGTCGAATTGGGAAAAGGAAAGACATTTTGTCTCTTGACAGTTAAATTTTTTGTTTAATTAGTTTTTTTTCAAACATTATCTCTCAGCGCCGTCTCGAAATTACTTTTTTCTAATCAAATTTAAAGAGATTCTCGCGTCGTAAAATGTCCTTACAAATGACGCTTTAGTATTCCTGTCGGTGATAAATTAATTCTTAAACATTCATAAAAATTATTTTAAGTGGAATTTTATTACCCTCAAAATATTAATCACCGCAATAAGGTTTCTCTTACATAACTTGGTTAAAGGTGCCGTTTGATAGGTTAATTTCGATCAAACGAGGAAGCCCTCCGTTGTTATTTCACTTATTGTACTAAATTTTCTAAACTTCTCAATACGGGGAGGAATTTATTTTGTAAATTAACAATTCTCGCTATTTTTACAGACATTCTCTTATTCCTCGCGTCAGAAAGTTGTAAAATTTTCCACTGTCCTGTTACTTTATCGAATCTTCTGTTCGTATCGGGGATGAAGTAAATCTGGCCAGAGACGATATTCGACACGAATTGAGAGTTATGCTGCATTACTGTTATTTCGTTGTTTGCATTACGATCCTTAAACGCTAAAAGGCTGCATTTAGAGGATATAGCAATCTGTCGTCCTCTAGCTCTGTTTGACATCCCTCGGCTCTGGTTAAAGTACTGTACGTCTAGATCTTGACGCGCTGTACGTGTTAAATTGTTCATTTTAACTTTATATTTAAATTGTATTAGAGATGTAAGTAAAGATTAATTTTGTATAAAAATACTATTTAAATTGTGTATTTGAATACTTTCCCAAAATTATAAAAGTTTTTATAGGTCGAGAGTGATCCATATTGTAAAAAACTAGCAACCAGTGGCTTTACTTTCTCGGCGACATTTAGTGGCACCATCTGTTATCGTATTTTTAAAAACATTTAGGGGAGACCGGGGTAACTTCGGCATGCGGGGCAAGTTTGTCAAGCGCTTTTTTTAAAAAACAAATTAAAAGGAGACTTTGGTTATAGGTTAGGCAGTTGAGCTTTATTGGTGGCTTGTTGAGTGTAGTGTTTTTATTGTTCTCCAACAAGCGTAGTTGAATTATCAAGCAAATTTTCATTTTCGTTCAATTCCATATAATATTTTTTTTCCATTTATATTGAATTGGCAGGTTTTGTTATAATTCCATGATAACGAAAGTTACTTTTCCTGTTAGAAGGATGTAACTTCAACTTATTCACGTGGCCAGATCGTGGCTTGGCATTCTGTTCTCAGGGTTGTACTTAATGTTTCGAAATCATGACTAGCGGGGTAAGATCGGCAACATAAAGCCACATTAGAAGCAAAGGATAAAAATCAAACAGATGATAAATGAAAACATGTTTGCATTTGTTATTCATGTATATATGTCTTTGAACTTGCATTTCGTTGTAATAATATTAAATGGGTGTTGGATTTGTATTTCTTTGTTTTAATAGTGAATTCCAACTTATACATTGTTAATAACATAATTTTATATACGTGCCTATCTTGCCCCATTACTGTTGCCCCTATACCAGGGGCAACTTTAATAAAAATAATTAAAATAATTACAACTTTACAAAAAGAGAGAAGTTGCCGATCTTGCCCCTATACCCGGGGCAACTTCGTCAATTTCTCTCTTCTTGTAAAGTTGTAATTATTTTAATTATTTTTATTTCCAAACTGATTTTAACCAGTTCTATAGTAAGGTAACATTCCAATAGACAATATGCAAAGCTTTTTTTTCAGTTTACAGCAGTATTTATTACACAAAATTTAAGTAAAGCTTAACATGCCGCTCTTGCCCCGGTCTCCCCTAATATTTTTAATTATTACAAAATGGCAAAAAGGTTAATTTTGAAGGTAGGGATGGGTTTTATAAAAAAAATCGTCAAGTTCGATCCTACCGAAGATACGTACGATCCCCTTTATCTCTCCCACCCCATCGACCTTTAACCATCAAAATTTATTACCGTCAATGCTCCTAATAAACAAACTTCCGGCAAAATGCTCAGAAATTTTCGACGAAAAGCGTAGGAGTTATTAAGCTTCAAAAAGGGTGAACATAATCATGCTTTTCGCGCATAACATCCCTACATACAGAAACCTCCCCTCTCGATTTTCTGCCTTTCTCGACGTTTCGAAGTTCGCCGAGTCCAAAAGTGTAAAAATCTGGGGAGAGGTCATATTTTGATCGATGGCCATACTTTCCCTGCGTTATATATAGGCCTAACGGGTCCGGGAAAGTAAAACTTGAGAAACGAAATCATTTCACTAGCGAAGTACGTGTTTCTCTAACGCATTACAATTGCAGTTCGTTTTCTGCAGGTTTTATTCAATTTAATAATCCACAAAACTAAGACGTAAATTACATTTTAGTTAGACCTTTAATATTAAATGAGGAATATGTATAATAAGACGTCCACAGGCCCGCGGGTTTTAGACTTTTTGCCGTCACTACTTTATTTACTACAGGAGTAGAAAGACGACAGTTAGATCTGTATAGAGGAGAAAAGTCCCGTGAAATACCGAAAGAAATATATAAAAGTGACGCTTTAGTCGAATTTTTTAAAATAAGAAATGTAGAATTTAAGTATAAAACTGGGAAAAATAGAGTAAAGCTTTCTTCTTGATTAATAAAAAAAGAAAAAATTCTTATGTTTTTTGCATTTAAAAAGAATAAATCAAGTGTTTTAATACAATTTATATTTGCAAATGACAGAGGGAGAGAGTTTGTAATATTTGATGTTTTATTTAATACTTTTTAACGAAACTTCAAGTTTTAAATTTTATTAAAAATTAAATATGCAAAACACGCAAATATATTTTTATTTCTCTTCCTTTTTATGAACAGAATATAAATTTATAAATAGAAGGAACGTCATTAAGAAGGTGATAAATATTTAAATTAACCTTATTTTTACTTTTTCTATTTACAAAAGAATTTCGTAATCAAATCTAACATTTTAGTAACCGCAAAATCCAATCAAATCGTGTTTGAATATATCTTACTCGTTAGTTAATTCGTCAAAAACTTTTATATAATGCTTCAAATTTGTTGTTATTCTTTAAAAATCAATTTTGTATTTATTTATTTATTTATTTATTTATTATCTATTTATTTGCAGTCAGACCCGTAAACCCCGCCAAGTCTCAACAAATATTGGACAGTCTACAATCTCTGGTGGGCATGTTTCGCCATCCGCAGGAATCCTTCACCAAAATAACTTTATTCCTGTATTACACCATTCTGAAACAGTGCAGATTCGATGTCTTGGCGGCTCGTGGTAAAATAGTAGAAGGTAAAGTACATTAGAAATTATAATTGTTATAGTAAAATAGAAATTAATTATAAACCAGCAATTATTTATTGTAACTTGGTCACAATGCAGGGTTACAATTTTTAATCATATTTTTAAAATTTATTTCATTTGAAATATACGTTCTCCACCTCAAATTAGTAGTGGTTTGCCCCTATACATCATACTTTTTCGGTTGCGATAGAGTCGTGCCTGTCATCTATCTAACTTCTTTTGGAGGAAATTTTTGAATTAAAATAACGTAACTTCCGTTTTGCATTGGAAGATCGTATATATTAATCGGGGCTTCCTGCTCCTAATCTTTCCACGTCTGGTCTCGGATTCTATCTATCTAACTGCATTTTTGAAGGAAGAACAGACGGACGACAGTGGGAATTTGTGTCTACAATTTTTTTCAAATTGCGGCTTAATAAGATAAAAATAGCGAAAGCATAAAAACACCAAATAGCCAGTGTCGGGACACGGCCGGGAGTTCAAACGCGAATACGTCCTTTCGTGATTAACTACAGGATAAAGTTTAAACCCCCAGAGCGATTCTGTGTCGTTATTCGAGTGTCGACGAAGGATATTCACGCGCTCTCGGTGGGTTCGTTAAATTCTTCGCTCCTTCGCCAACCAATAAATGGTGGCAAATGCTGCATTCGTAGACAAACTCGTTCTTTACAAATGCTTTCTCGAAACGAACGTTGTTCGCAGTCCATTTATGCAGCCAAAGTTCACACCTCGAAATTTGTTCATGTGTTTCATCCCCTAATACGAGTTTCTCGATTTCTGCTTGTACTTTTGCGCTAAATGACGCGACAGAAAGAATTTTTCATCCAACTTTTCGAAATTTTTTACTGTCCCCCAGATTTTGAGAAAGTAAGTTTATTCATATGTCCCGTGTAGAACACTATTCTCCGATTACGTCTAAATTCGTTTTGTCCCGATCGAACGACTGGTGTATAATTTACCAGCGCGGGAAGTTGACCTATTCGTTTCGTTCACGCTCACGTCCAGCCAGCCGTTACGCGTGCTACGTCCTCACGGATGCGATAACGCGCCCTATCGTTAGACGCAAACACACAATGGTATTATTCACTGGCTTAAAACTTTCACCGTTGTGAAGTTAGGGGCCGTCTATAAATTACGTCCGCATTTTTCTTGAAATTTTTACCCCCACCCTCCATTGTCCCGGTTTGTCCAAGTTTCCGTAACCCCTCCTCTCTTCGGACGTCCAACAAAACTCGATCCCCCTCAAAATCTTTACACATTTTATTATTCTTAAAATGATAAACTGTATAAAATTTAATGAAATATAACTGACTTTCATCGAAGTTCAACCGCTCCTCTCGCTTGTCCGACTCATCATAACCCTCCCCATTATTTAAATGTTCTCACTATTTCCCATTCTTCCCCAAAAGAATTAACAGAATACTATTAAGTTGTTTCACTCGTCCGGCAGCCCGAACACGAAGTAAAGAGAATTATCAAATGCTCGTCCGTTTGCAAATGCCTAAAAATGAAATTAATGATAATATATATTCAATATACGGTATAATTTTATCGATTTATACCTTTTCGTCTGGTTTAAACAAAATTAACTGGGAATGCAGTGCTTTGACAAATAGAATCTAAGAGTATTATATATTAAATAGGAGAATTTGTTATAACATATCCGAAGAAACTTAGAAAGTGTTACGAGATTTTTGAACTAAAAGTAAAGAAAACAGAAGTAAAAATGCTTTTCTGCAGAAATATACAGACACGGGTGAAACGAAGTACCTTTCCGATGACGCCTTCGCAGTATCGAAGAATTGAAGAGCTTGTAGAAAACAATATATCGATAACATCACTAGAAAACCAACATGTAAAAAGTAACGAATTTGTCACGTGGCCAAATTGTCGTAATGCAAAATGTCAATTAATTTCTGCTTATTTATATTTAACATGCGTTTATATAACAAAACATATTTCGAAAAGAAAAGAAGATCGAATTACACTGGGAGATAAATGAAACAAGAGAACGAGAACTTGTGTAAAGAACGTTACGAGTAAAATTATTTTTTCCGTTTAAATATTTATAAAAACAGGCAGACAAAGCGATTCCAGATGTTAAAATAGAAATATTATTAATACTTAAATTTATGTATCGACTTGTGTTTCGATACCATAGAACAGTGTTCCGCAACTTTTTTCTTCTTGCGGCACACCTATGACTCAACACGGCACACCAAAATGTTATTTTCCTCAAAAACGTATGATACGATACTATTAATAGAATTACATAATGCCACGAATCTATTATTATTATTATTAAACAGACCAACACCTGTGAGTAAATTTATTTTATATTTAATTTCTTAGAATACAGTAGAGCCTCGATTATCCGACTCAATTGGGGACTGGGGTTGGTCGGATAATTGAAAAGTCGGATAACCGAAAAGTATGAAAAAAATGTATTATTAGTGTAGTATATTATTATATTCCATGTAATTAGTATATTAGTATATCGCTATTAACCTACTTCGCGTTGAATTTTCATCGATGTTAAGCCTAACATAAATTTTTAAAAATAATAATCGTCGCTATCGTATCGTTAAAAATTAGAAAATTAAGCCTGGTTTAAATACTGGCTCCCTTTCGTGGTCGAATGAGTGTTGCCAGCTAAAACACGTAAAAATAATATTAAAGTAGCCAAGACATAGCCAAATATTGTAGCGCCACATCACTAGCGGACATTTGAATTTGCCGACTAGGACGGTCGGTTAATCGAGGGTCGGAAAATAGAGGCTCTACTGTACATAAAAATGCGTGGCTTGTAATAAAGAATAAACAAACATCGTCTTATTTCATCATTGCTGCGGCAGAGAATGAAATACAAGCATAAAAAACATAGCAACTGTAATAAAAATATATAAATAAAACTTGAAATTAATAGAATATGTAAAAGTTTGCGTCACACCTTTACTTTTGTGACGGCACACCGGTCGCGGAACACTGCCATAGCAACATTAAAATAAATTTTTATATAACTTTAAAATATATTAAAAGTTATATTTCATAAAATATAATTTTTATTGATAAAAAAGCCCAATAAAAATTTGACTTATAATTTCCACCGTCGTGTTTCTGTCCGTCCTTCCTTCGTTAATCTCCAAAGGGAGTTAGATGAAAATCGAAAGCGGGTGCATTTGAAAACGATTAGCCAAGTTCAAAATCAAAAGTTAGCTCTTAGTCTTTATTACAATAAATTCTATACGGACTAAAGATTATTGCCGCAACTAAATTGCCTCCAGTCAGTGTTGTAAACGATAATAAAAGTACAGGTACCGTAACAGCAACGTCTCGGGACCTTCCGAGCATCAAGAGAAATGTCGTTTACGCGCGTCAAAGTATGCACTACTGTAAATATAGGAAAACAGAAATAAACCAATCGTCTAACTATCCAAACAAAACGTTCAAATATATTTTGTGACATTTTGTTTGCCGGCTGACAGCGGCGCCCCAAACTATGAAAAAAGGTACGGTACATTGCGCACGGAGCTCCAAACTCTAATAGGTCGATGGACAAATATCGTTCGTTAGTTTCTTTTATATCTGCGGAATAGGCTAGAAGTCACGAATTTTTTTGTTGTTTGGAGCCCCCTTGGAGATTATGAAAAGGACACGTGCCTCGAGTGCCCCGATGTACGGGCGCCTCTTCTGGCTGCATCCATCACACAACCGGTGAGTCCACCCGAAACACGTACGGCATCGGAGCCAATCGTCACCGTTCCGGTTGGCGGAATATTTCGTGGCACAGAACGTGTACGCTACGTCAAGCCGGACGTCCGGCAACGGAGTATGATTCTCACTCGCATCCATCGTGTGGAGTTCTGCGCCGGGAAGAATCGGCACCGGAAGAAGATTGCCTCGTGCTATCTGATTACGTTGCGCGATTTACGAAATTTATCTCTATCTTTGCTATCGTTGCGATATCGACGGTATCCGTCACAACCCAATGTAAAAATCCAGTTAAGCTTGTTCGTCTTTTACAGTTGATGATAATAATCTTCTTCTCACGATGCAAAATTAAATCTTGTGCTAACTTTCTACCGTCTGCGGCATTACTATTGGCATAATACTGATTTTGTCCAATACTCCGGTGGATACGTAAAGGTGTCATTTCCACTCTGAAGCCATCGCCGTAGTCGCGTTCATTCTACCTTTCTCGATCCTCAGAAAGTGATCGAAGGATTGTTTTTTATCTCGACTTATGCACATGTCTGGAATGACAGAATCGATACGAGAATTTGTTTGCAGTAACGGCAAAACTCGCATTCACGAGATCGAGTTGTCTTCGTATCGTCACACTAGCTGTCGCGAAGTTATAAGTACTCTCTCACTGCTGGAAGGTTATACAAAGGTTCTGTCATCGGGTATTCGCGTATCTCCCAACAGTTGAAATTCGTGAAACGACTTCGAAGACGTTAAGTTGCTTGTTACCGTTAAGATTGATACTACACGATCTACATTTGCGATCACACTCTTCGTAATCGTAATTGACTCGATCGAATTAAAATTACACTTCAATTCAGTTTGAAGTTTTGCAATATCTATATTCTTGAAATCTCTTGGTTTGACAGCTTTTACCATTGCCAAATTCTCTGCATAACACAACTATTAAATATTCGTTTGCTATTCTGCTACCGAAACATAATTCATCCTCGAAGTACAAAAGTTCTTTTACGGAGATTACGAAAGAACGGTGTTATTTTGTGTACGTTAAAAATATTTTACGAATAACCAGTAATAATAAGGAAAGGAAGCTTAGCCTTTACTGCGGCGCTGTATTATAATCGACTCCAGGCGATTCCCCGTAAGCAGAGAATGAAGACGAATATATTACGTCTCCTTGGAAACTTTTTGAACCATTCATTTGAGACCGAATTCAGACAAATGTCGAAGCTTTGGCTCGCGTGATCGACCCCGATACGGGAAGGTACTCGTAACTGCTTCGTCAACTTATATACCGGTAGTATTTTCTGTTATGACAGAATGTTTGTAAATAGACAATCGGCGACTGGCGTGTCAGCTCGTTGATCGGTCGCCGGTCAATCCGGGATAGGACGGAGCTTACACGCCATTCGCCGATTGACTATTTAGAAAATTATCAGACCGTCGCCAGCGACGCGAGAATAAGAGAAAGAAAATGAAAGGATCGACAGATACGACTGAAGCGTTGTCTACGGAACAGTCACGCGGAATGATGTGGACAGTGAGACCGAACGTACTCCGATAGAGGCAATATTATTACGACATAGAAATTTTCTATGTCGTAATAATATTGTGTAGTCAAATCGAGTTCTGACAAAGTGACAGAAAATATAGTATTGAGAAAATTATTTGAAATCGATTTGATGCATCCGATGACATCCAACGGACACGTCGAGAGGTCGGGATATTGACCGTAGTGCATTTCGTACGTCCGTGTTTGGTAACGAAGAGTATTCTCGCGTTAGAAACGTAAATTGTAATGTGGCGTATACGTACGTAAATGCGTTTTGCTACCGCGTGTACGTATTAACGTAGATAGACTATAAAAACATAACATTGGCTTAATAATAACAACATTTCTGCCATAATTAAAAGATATAATTCTTGGCTTTAAACGAGTTCATTCGAGTATAGCTTACATTTAGTTGTTCACAAAACCTCATTTGTTTATTTTACAGCCGAAAAGCACATCTCTATTTTCTTTCTTCGAGAATCATCCATGGCCCAGTCGAGTTTAAGCACGTCCTTCTCCAGCATTTTTCGGCAAAGTTCGCCGGGAACTTCTCTTCTCGCTCCTTCCACGGGATGCCTCCCGCCATATTACCACTACGTTCCGGAAATGAGTAGCAGCGGCGTGGGATCCAGGTTTCAGTTCGCCCCCAACGCCTACAACTGTCCTAGTCTAATTCCGGAATGGACTTCGGATCATACGACCACTACCGAACGCGACCAAACCGACAGCGAAAACTCCAATTTGGGTTTGCCCGGTCTTATATACGGAAGTTTGCCCGTAAATTACCAAGCGGCTTGTTCTTCCACTTCTTCCACCCTGGTGGCAATCGATAGGAGCAATAACGTTCTCTCTCTGGAAACTTAATGACTGGTAAGTACACGCAGCTAACACGAAACGATTAAATTACACCAGATGTGTGTATATACAGTATATATACAGCGCAGGAAAATAACTTTTCTAGATCTCTTCTAAGGCACGATCACACGTTACGCATTCGATTAGACAAATTATTTTAATATACTTTGATTCGACTGCGTATACCAATATAGAACAATTAGGTAATGTCGACACGACGCCAAAAGACATACAGGGTGATCGACATAAAATGTTAACTTTGTATGTTTTGCGCTAGCGCATTTTGCCTAAAGACGGATTTATCACATTGGATTAAGCGCGGAAAGCAGAATGACCTTAAGTTGCAAAATAATTCTATGTAATTTACGTATTTCACGATAAGCATTTCCACTAGACAATGGACAAAAAGCGATCAGAGTCATTGACAGAAAGAAATTTCTTTTATTAACAGAACAGAATGTATTATTGGCGAAATGAAACTTCTCTCACATAATTACAGCAAATGTTTTTTGTTTTCATTTACGCAAACAACAACTTCTTCCTCCAGATTTGAAGCCGCTTTTTGCAGTTTCACTGATGCTTTCGATAGTCTCGATAACGTTAGAACCGTGCCTCGTCGGCGAAAAACATTGTCGAGTTCGCTGGATCCAATTACTTTCCGCAAAGTTGAGGAACGCGTTGTCTACATGAATGTAAACTTTTTTGCAATAATGGTTTTCAAGTAATTCGAATTCAAACGTTTTCGACAGTTGAAGCAATTTCGTGTGTAACATATAGCGTGTATTTCTTCTCGCGTTCGTCTGTCTGGAAAAGAGCACCTCTCAGTCTTCCACGCTATATACATTCTGATACGTGTGACATTTATTCTGGGTTGGTAACAAAATGATGAAAACCTGCAAAGATTTGTTTTTAATTTATCGAAACACTACCCGTAGTTGAACGCTTTACTCTTCTCTAAGAGACTAAAGGTGAAGCTATTGTAGAAAATCTTTAATAAATCGGTTAAAGTAACACCCAGTAACTACATATACTCAAATACTTTTCAGTCTAGGGAAATTTCATACTGGCAATAGCCTTTACTTTATCCGAATCAATTCCGCAACCCGATTCCAGATATTTTATATGGGTGATAGCAAAAAATACACTTTTCCTCATTGGCCTCGATACGTGTTGCGCAGACTCTACGAATAGTTCGTTCAGTAAATCGAGATGACCCTATATTCTTATAAAATGCTATCGTATCGTCCACGTACTGTAGGCCTACATATGTTATATACAGTATATACTTTCTTTCATTCTAGATTTCCTAATTTTTGGCACTTTATCCGAAAGGCATTTTGAGAAATTCGTTCGGGCCATCTGGGATTACGAAAGCGAATTTTTCTGTTATTTTCTTACATCGATATACGTCAAAATTTCGATTTAAAAAGATCTGGTTTGTTAGTCTGAACTGTTATATTACAGTATGTTTTATACGGAGATCGATTGTCGCTTGTACTAATGTTGACCCACCTAAAACTGATACAGATGCTGTCAGCGATACGAATACAGCAAATTGCATTCTCCTTAAATAATGCTGTATCTCCGAGTTCATTTTTATGCTTTTTCCAGAAAGATTATGCGAGGCGTCCGCTAGGAAAGTAGACAATAATATCAATTCTCGCGGAGTCCTCGTTCTTGCGGGCCAAGAAAAATAGCGTAAAGACTGTCTTCGGAACTGTCGCTAATTATGCAGGGAGAAGATATCGTCAGAACGGTTGAAGATGATAATCCAGGAATTTTGGAAAATTTCTGACAGTGAAATTTCTACGACGAGACAACAGAAAGTCGTCTAAAACAGAGGAACCGATCGGATAATGTTGATTCTGAGAAATTTACATATCCTTACGCTTACCACTTTGTAACCAATGGCGAAAAACTTTGTGTATACGAAGAATTCTATCTGGCCACTCCGGCAATCCTCAATACAGAATTAATTGCTTTCGTTTGAAAAAGAAGGTGGAGCTAATTGGATCGTCTGCGGAGAGGAAAAGAAACTCGGTGAAAAATTAGTGAGGAAGCGCAAGAAAGAATTCGAAAGCATATATGGAAAAACCCTCCTCGATAACTCTCCGAACGTCCTCCTTATTATTGTAGACCCACCACTACGAATTCCTGGAAAGTAACTTAAATCTCTCGCTCGTCTATAACCTAACGAAGACACGCGTATTGCCGATGACATCGTTCTAGAAAAACCTGGCTGTACAAATCATTTTTAATAACGAATTTAATCTGGGCTATACGTATCGAGGAAGGATCGGCGTGAAGCGTGTAAAGGAAAAGAAACACGAGAGGGGAAAAATGGCCAAGACATTTCGGAGAACAATTGAGGAAGGTTTTTCGAAGCGCAACGAAGAGAAAACTTCGGCTTGGGAAGAAAAAAATTCCAACAAAAAGACGGCCGATGCTGAAATAGCGGTAATTTATTTCGATCTACGAAGTTTTGTCCTCGATCTAAAACTTTGTATTTTATTATACGAGGAAATTTTTAATGTTTAACCTGACGACTTTTAAATTAATATCGGTCAAAAAAATGGGCTGACACTAAGCAATAGGAGGCAGAAGTGGGAACAATGTAGCGAACGTACTAGCGAATACAGTATTTTACTGAAATTGTTCCGGGCAGCCGCACCCGGAATACGTCGTACTACGATCGGATTGATGCGTGCAACAGAATAGAACCTCTCGATGTCGTCAACCCTCGCAGAACTTTTTAGAATTGGCAAACACAACCTAACTCGAAACGAACAGAAATTCGAAGTGTCTGGGCCTAGTTACGCTCGAGAAGTAGATGCTGCGCGTAGCGTAATCGAAAAAATTTTCAAAAATCTCCTGTTGCACGCATACATTGCGTAGCAAACGCAATGAAGCGCGAGTCGAAAAATCCCTACGAATTAACACATTTACACAAAATGACATTTTACATACTTAAAAATGACAAAACCGTCTCCGAAAAAGTGCCTTATGCAAAAGTAAGAACATTGGGTATATAAAAGAGGAGGCAAACTTGTCGTCCGGTACAGAACATCTCCGCGAAAAGACCAACCGATGGACGCGGTACTTTTTTACAAATCTTACAAAGCACGAGTTGGTGCCAAGTGCGAAAGTAATAACAACAAAGTATTGTTTCAAAGAAGAAGGTCAAGGACGTACGATCTTTCAAGTACTCCTCGGCTCAGGATAGAAGTTTTTATGAATATGTCTAATTAATCTTTGTTTTATCATTATTGAAAAAGGAAAACGTTTTGTCTAAAGTTCATCGGGTGCTGTAATTACAGTTAAAATGAAATTAACGACATAGTTTAATAGTATTTCGAACACCAGCATCACTAGCGTAGATATAATAGTAGTTAGTAGAAAATGTAGTTGTTGATAGCACTACATTTCCGTATAACGTATCTGGAAATAAGTAATTTTTTAATTATTTATCGCAATCATTAACTATTTTCGGTTTGTAGTATACAACCAAAAATAAAAACAATGTTACGCCAGCACGTCGCGTTATACTAACGGAAATCTTGACGTAAGTTTTCTTGATACGGAAAGAGTCGTAACGTTAGGTTACTCGGGTTAAGAGGAGCAAAACAAAGTCGTCACTATCTGTAGGACTCGCATCGTGACCTGTAATCGTAATGCAGTTACGTGATGTACTTACGAAAATTGGCTTGGTAACTACATAATCGCTGTAATAGATAAAAGCATACGCGATTATCGTTACGCATTGCGTCGAATAGACATTATAACATTTAAGTCGAGCCTCGCACTAGCGAAATAAAAACTCGTAACTTCTTTACATTTTATAGTTATTCTAACGTAGCGTAACTTTAATATGTAAGTAACTAATTATTGTCTTTTTCTGATTTTGGACAGAGATGAAAGTGCCTTAAATACGTTCGAGAAGAAAGGAAGCGTGTCAAAAGGGAGATACAAGCTGTGATAAATATAATACGTGTTGTTATTTCATTGATATTATCTTACGTTCAAAATAAAAAAAAAAAAAGTATATATGTATTAACGATTAGAAAATTAAAAAGTTATAAAGTTAAAAATAAAAATTGAATAAATAATTGTAAAGTATTTCCTTAAAACTTTAAAAACGTTTCACTTTTTATCGTGTGTGGTCTGTGTCAATCGGTATAAATGGAACAAAAAGAACAGTTAAGGGTTTGCTTACGCGTGTATACGAATATCTGCAGATGTATATATAAGTAGGACCTACATATTCGCATGTATGTATATATATCTATATATTATATGTACTTATATGTATATTCATTACCAAAATTCTTTCAGATTTGTCGAGATAAACTTGGTATGGCTCTACTAACAGAGATCTGAATTTAAATGAATATTTTGAGGGTTAGTCTTTATCACGGAACAGCTTTTAAATTGCGAGTTAAAGATCGTTATTGTACAGGTTGGTTATTAACGACAAGACCCTCTTTTTTGTGCAGTTGTATATCGGAATGATTTTCTCGTCCCTGTCGAGTTTGGTGCCGAACTAAGAAAATTTATGGTTTTCTTTGTATACTGTAGCTGCTATGTTATTGTAAAACAGTGAGAATATATTGATTGCTGGTAGTTTTAATGCTAGAATTCGTTGGGGAAATGCGATTTATGAACCGTTTCGTAATCTTTATATTATTAATTGTCTTAAACAGAGAAAATCTAACAACTTAATTGTTGACTCGCGTGGTAAGAAGTTGCTTCATTTATGCGAAAATTTAGTCCGATTATTATAAGTGGGAGATGTTTAGGTGACGAAGCTGGGAAAGATTCTTTCGTCTGTAATCGTGGTTGCTCTGTAATGACTATAATTGGTTTGTCATTATTATACGGCCGCGTTTTCCACGTGGATTTATTTGGCTATTTTTGATGAACTCGTGTACTGTACGGTGAAAATTTTGCGGGGCAAACTCGTGTTTTTCTCTCGCTACGTGCACCATTTTATTAAGTAATAAACCTTCGGTATAAAAAAAACAATTATATAATTCTATTTAACTATGAAATAGTGATTACTATTTCATATTTACGCGAGTTAAAAATTAACGTGTTTAAAATTAAATATAAAAATCTGCTTTTAGTATCTTTTTGGTTTTATGTTTTTGCCTTTGTCTAAACCGTGTCTTCTTTTGTTTGTTAGTCTTTATGACACAACTAGGTAGAAACCGGTAGTGCCGGCGAATGTTAAGTGCTGTTTAGTGCACTAAGTCGCGGTAATTTTAACGGTGTATATATGTATGTTAGTGTAGTATGTATGTCAAAAGTATGTATATTTGTTTGCACCACTACGCTAAATGTCTAAGATAAAGGTACGTTTGTAAATTACTATTATAGTAAATTAAATGTAATATGATCGATATACGTTCGAATTGAAGCCGACAGATGAGGGGCGTTTGCCGGAAATGCGTATCGGCATCTAAGAGCGATGTAAAGAAAAGCATAGTGTCTACCTATGCACTTAGTTGTGTGGTAAAGACTAATCTTATAGTTTTATTAAACTTTAGTATTCGTACTGTACGCTAATGTGATATTTTCGTGCATTTGTAATTTTCTTCTTTTTGTATCTTTTTGAAAATACCTCGAGCAAAAAAGCGTGTTTTACAAACTCTGGAAATTGGTTTCCGCGTTAACAATGTATGTCGTCATCAAAATTTACATGGCGTCAAACCCACTGTGTTGTGAGAAAGTGGCAGTACAACCTATACACTCGCCCACTTTCCAAGTTTTAAATACGGTCTTTTTAACGTTTTTGCTTAAAAAATTGCTATAATCTATTATGCTGGAAAACAATTCCTTTACTTCGTACATCTGGTAAGTTTTTCAATACTTTCGCAAGCACGTTTTACGAATTAGGTTCTTAGAACTGTTTATTGTTTGTTTATCTTTTGTCGAGAAGCCAACGCTTTTGATTGTAACGTTATTAATTAAACAGAATTGAGCCTTTTATAATATTTTTTAAAATTGCAAGTAACACGATACTAAATTTGCTATCCATAAGGTATTAATTGTGTACCGCAAATCTTAATTCCCGCACCCCTATACTCCCGGATTGTATAACGATCAAAACTATTATCGGACTTTGTGGAGACCTTTCACCTTTCGATACCAAGTAAGTTCGACTTTAAAGCTACGTTTATAATTAATACTTTTTTAAAAAAATACGTTTAGGCATAAATTTCGCAAATGTTTTTTCTCGTCTTTTAGTTGGACTCGTGGAGTTTCTAGACGAAGAAAAAGTTATCTGGGTTCCACTTTAACTGGGTTAAGGGGAAAAAAACAACGTAATAATAATAAAAACTTAATACGTTTACTGTATTATTGTAATGTTTTTGTTTTACATAGAATACACGTGCTAATGAGATTGGAGAACCATTCAAAATTGCTACGAGTGCTCATAAATTAAGAAAAAACTTGTGGGAAAATATAAACAGAGCAATAATTTAGGTAAACTTGACATTCCTATTGTTTTTTTAATGGAAAGTATGAAATACATTACAGAAGCCGATTCGCGGTTGAGAATATCGAAAGAAAACTTCGATATCTCGGTCAGCAAAAAGTTTGTTAAATTTTATTTCTTTATTTACATTTACTAATATGAAAATTTATACTTTAACGTTAATATTTTTAGTATCGCTACAGGGTACTGTATCTTTCCAGGCACTAAACGTCGAGGATGCAGTTATTAGTGGGTAATTTTTATTAAAAAAATTGAGTAAGGTACAAATATATTGAGTTTTTTTATTAAATACAGCCGCTGTTCGAGTCACGTTTTCCTCGACAAAATTGGTAAACATAGAAGATGTAATTAAAAATTGACTTAAAAAATGCAAAGAAAAAAGACCCAGAAAATCTACAGGTAAAAATAAATCTACACCTTTTTGCCGATTTAAACGACTACTTACGTAAAACTTAAAGTAACTTTTTAAGAATGTTACTTTAATAGATAATTACCGAGTGTTTGTTTTTTGTAGGGACAGAAAAAGATTCGCTTAATTAACGGCCAGCAAGAAAATATATTTCGATGTATGAAATGTATAGATTATTCGAATAACAGAGAAATGTATTAATTAATTTTTTTACATACAGCAAATAAATGATTTATTAAAAGTATAAATATATGCGTGTATTTTTGTGTATAAAGATGCATCGAATTTTGAGTTACTTCGTAATACAATAAAATAACCGGTCAAATTACTTATCGTAATCCGGCATAACTAATTAGCGTAATATACTGGTCTGGATAAGAAGATACCGGTATTCCTCGCGGGTAACACGTCACTATTACTTGGAACCATTCCGCATAAATTCGATGTTCCGTCCTCGTCGTCCTTTCGATTACATAGCTCGTAATTGAAAAAACCCTCAATATAATTAAAAAATTTTAGAAAATAGTTTTTCTTATCGCAAAAAAGACAAGTAAAATATAAAATGCTAAACTTATATAAAGTCGCTTCGTACTTAAGAAACTTTTAGAAACGACGGGTAGAGTCATAACTGAAGATGGTTTTGTTTCAAAACCAGTCATTAGATTAAAAAATTATTAATAAACGGTTTCGATGTAAAAGCAGTTGGCCTCAAAAAACAATTGATATCCAAACAAAACGACAGATGCGTGAAGTAAAACATGTTTTTACCGGGCGCAATTTTTTTTTACATCTCGAACGTTTTTACTTGGATTCGTATAATACTCCAAATTTCCGTAAATATTCTGGTAAAAGACGTAAAATTCGAAATTATTTTGTCCCGAACGATAGAATTTAATTACAATACGCTCATTCGTGCCAAATAATTAATGGAATATTATAATGTCACCGTCGTTAATTTACGTTCTCAAATTTTACATTGTAATGTAAAACGTGCTGGATTTTTATCGAATAGTCTATAGAATATGCGTGTTGTTGTCGACATTTCTATAGGTTGGAGAAGATACGATTTATTACCGTATTATTATTTTTTCACTTAGACGTCATTCTTCTCGACAAGTTCGAAAAAACACGGTAAGATATTAATGCTTTTAAAGAATAAATTAGGCATATTTAATAGTTACGGGTATCGATTTACCGCAAGGTCAAAAAGTTTAGAGATTTACATAAATAGAATGGTAAATACATCAAAGAGTAAGAAGTTTTTTATTTCCTTACTTATGCAAATGAATCTCGAAAAATTGAATTTTGTATTTCGTGCCAAAATAATAGAAATTTTCGGCCGTAAATTTAATGCGTTATAAATACAAAAATTATAATAGTTCGAATTTGGAGATTAAAATAACTTTACGGATCAAATTTTCGTGCGTAAAAATATTTCATGGTTAAACATTCCGATGGTTAAATATTAATAAATGTCGGTGTTTTATTCGTTAATCATTAACGAATTAAAAACGAAAACGTTTCGAGATTTAAAGATTAGAAAACGAAATCGAATTTCTTATAAAAGAAAATTAAGTTTTATAAAGTATAAATTTCGATCTCGATATTAAGATTTAGAACCCATTTACGGGAGCGAAATATTATACGTTAATATTTTAACAATTAAGACAGCGCGACAAAGTCTATTTTAAACTCTCATTTACGATGCAAAATATAATTGTTTCGATTCTTTTATTACTTTACAAATTTAATACGAATACCACGTTGCAAATTTATCCGTATTATTTCGTATCTTTTGTAAGATAATACGACGCGATGTTTTATAAGCTTCCAGTCATTTCCAACACGATCGTCACTCGATGCAATAATAACGGGATTAATAATTTAAAACCATTTTTAAACACTAAAATTAAGAATGGAAGCAATTTTCTTGCCGTAAAAATTAAAAAGTAGTCATTTATTTATTTTAGATAAAATAGAAAACGTCTGTTTAATACTAAAGATTTCCACCTGCGCTTAACAATAAAACCCGTAACAATATACAAGAAAATACGTAAGAGATAAAAAGTTAGAGTGGATAAATATTACGACACAATAAAACAATCCAGAAAATAAAAATACATAATTTAAAAGTTATATAACTTTTAAATTATTTTGTGAAATACGGTAGAAATAACACCTTTAAATATTTAATATAAAAGCAATAATTATTATAAGTTGTAGTGGAAAAAACCGGAGCAGACACGATTCGAATTACGTGGAGACATTTCTTTATTTGTCTTTAATTAGCGGATATTTAAATACGATGACGGACACGTGTTTAGTGTTTAAATCGCGTCGCGCCATCTGGTAACGATTTTCCGTAAACGTAACCGGGAGCGCCACCGTCGCTAGACCGAGTATGTCGCGTGAGAATCCGTTGCAGTTAGCGGAAGTGAACGTTGGAGTCCGTGTCGTAAATGGCAACGAAAGCGAACGTCCGGCGTGTCGACAGACCTTTAGACCAGTAACTGCTTTATTTATTTAGGAAATATATACATATATACGAATGAACTATTAACCTACGTTTAAGTATGGACGATAGCGAAATTCGTATGGATAATCGGAAAAATAACGAGAGTAGCGTGATTACTCCCAACGACGATGGACAGCAAGTACCGTCGACGACGGGTACCAACAGGCGGGTCCCGGTGTGCGCTAGATGTAGAAACCACAATGCCAACGTTGCGATCAAGGGTCATAAACGCTATTGTCCGCATCGTTTTTGCAGGTGTGTGCGTGTGTATGTTTGTTGTGTTGTGTATATTGCGTGTTTGTGTGTTTGTGTTGTCTTTGTATATACATACATATGTATATAACGACAACACAATAAATATATATATGTATATAAACGCTACTGTCCAAATCTTTTTTTGTGCAGGTGCTCAAAGTGCACTTTGATAGTTCATCGACAGCGTGTTATGGGTATGTTTTTTTAATGACTATGTTATATATATGTATAATGTATTTATGTGTGTGTATGTATATATTTATATATAGCTCTGCAAGTTGCTCTTAGAAGAGCCCAAGAACAAGATGAAGCAATGGGTAGACCTCACGAAGAATCCGACGAGTTGCCCGTAACTCGTACGTCGCCCATAAGTCGCTCCTTGTCGCCCATATTAGACACCTGGACAAATAAGTCGAGTTCCNAATGACACACGCAGCAAATGTCATATCGTGCCAGAAACCATACAACACATCACTTCTGGTTGCAAGCTCTTGGCACAGACAGTATTTACATAGACATAATGAAGTAGCAAATACATCAAGAGCTTTCAAACAAGCACAAATTATTAGACATCCACGAACCATACTACAAATACATTTTACAGACAGTATTGGAAAACAACACCCACAAACTGTACTACGACAGAGCCGTAATCACAGATAAAACAATTTACCACAAAAGAGCGGACATCACACTCATTGACAAGCACAATAAAATCACACATTATAGCCATATACAAAACACATGCAGTGAAAAAATCAGCAAGCACATGGACTCGCCCAGGAAATAAGGCATCGCGCCAGGAAATAAGGATGGATAGGGTACTTACTGTACCTGTCGTTCTCTCCTGTACAGGTATCATACCACATACGCTACACAAAAGCCTGTGAACATTAAAATTGAATAGAAACACATACATCGCACTACAGAAGGCCACTATACAGTATTGAATACATGCCATATTGTTAGGAAATTCCTGAATACAAACACACACTGACACACTTATTTAATTTTTGTCTCGTTTCGATTACTATGCCTTGACTCTGGTCCGGCATAGTACACAGTCATCGGTGTCAACCAAGTGTAACTTACAAATCTCAACATAATAATAATAATAATAGCTTTATGGCATTACGAAATTCTACTAATAGTATCATATCATACGTTTTTCAGGGGAATAACATTTTGGTGTGCCGCGTTGACTGATGTCGAGTCATAGGTGTGCCGCGAGTAGAAAAAGGTTGCGGGACACTGTTTTAGAGGACCGTAATTATTTCAAGTAGGCCTAATTATATGCGATAAGAATATATGCTTACCTAGAGTTACGGTACGTAACAAAGTACGTACGGTAACTCCGCATTACTATTTAAATATCACCCGTAATCGAGTGCGCCAGCTTCAGTACGGTCGAACACTTTTCTGCGGACCGGCGGTTGAAAAACACTGCTTTTAATATATATGAAAGAGTTACGCATCCGAAGAAAGGAAAAAAATCTTGTAAAGATGCTGAAATTTCATTGTTAAATACTTAACCTTTTGAATGTTTATGTAAAAACATATACAGCGTGATAGAATCGGTTGTTAGATACCATCTTTCGTTATCTGTTTCAATTAAATTATTACAGTATATAAATTTATGCGTAAATTTTGGTCGTTTAAAAATATCGTTTAATAAAAGACGAACTGTATTTTCATAGCTTTGTTATGTTTTTGTTGGATATTAGGTTAATTAGATTGCTATTAAAGAATTTTCCTGGTTTTATGAATTCAAATGCAAACAACTTTGGTTTGCATGTGAATTTACATGGCATTACCTGTCGTGCAGTTGGATCACAACAGTAATCATTAACATACCTGTCTGTACGCCGGTTTTGGCAGTAATCTGACAATTTACCTGGATGCGTTACTTTTGTAAAAGTTTATTTAAAATATACATATTTGTCTTTTTGAGGATGGAATAATTCGTTAATATCTTAACGCTATAAAAATATTTAAGTTCTAAATTTATCTCTGAATGTAAAGGCCTCGCAGACATTCTTATTTACAAGTTGGGTTTATATACAACAGCTGTTGTTTTTTAGGATAGTATAAATTGTCGAAAATTTTTATTTTGTACGTGGTAAATTATGGCTAGTGAGAATCAATGCGACACTAACAACATATAATACCGTAATTAATTGAGTTACAGCCTAAAACGCTAACAGCTGTCGAGGACTTCAGTTGCATTGTTTTACTTCCTGTTCTTATGATTATAAATTACGTTATCGCTCTTCTAAAAACAAATTAAACTAGGGGCTGTCCATAAATTACGTCTGCATTTTTCTTGAAATTTTTCTTCCCCTTCTCCTCGTCCCAGTTTGTTAAAGTTCCTGTAACCCCTTCCCCTCTTTGGACGTCCAACAAAACTCAACCCCCTTAAACCCTCATCACTTTATTAATGAAAGATACCATAAGTAGAAACGAAAAATACAAGAAATTTTGAAATAAATATAATAAAATGCATAAACCGTAAACAATTTAATCAGTAAAAGGACCTCTACTGAACCTCGACCCCTCCCCTCTCCCTACTTTCCAGTGTGGATGTCACTTATATTCGTTTATCAATCGTGCGATTTGTCGCATTTTCCTAAGGTGATTCAATTACTTTTGGAAGTATTGGACCTTTGATGAGCAAAGTAGGTTTAATATTTTCTCTCTGTCAGACTCCGTTTTATTACAACGCGTGATCAGATGATAATTTAGTGTCTATTCTTCATCAATGGAGTGTTACGATGCCGCTGCTGCTTATAATAATAATAATAATAATAATAGCGTATCAACCAGTTGGCAACAGTTGATCGACTATTCTGAAATTTATGTTCGTTTGGCACTTACTCGGATATTTACTTTGACCGCAGTTACGGACTTTGGTCGTAATAATAAATTCCTCGATGGAGCTATAGCGTTTAAATGGGAGAGATGAATGGATGAAGGTGTTACGTTACAAAAAGTAAGTTCTGAGCTATCGACGTTTTAAGTTTTTAACCTTGTATTTTCACTTATCCGCTTCTTTCTATGTGTTTAGTATATTTCCTTTCTTTAAGGACGAGAAATTTAATTAAAACTCGACAACGCTATTGTTTAAAAAAATAAATAATTCTTTACATTTTTAGAAAAATTATTCGCACGTAACACGTTTATTTACTACACTGGCAATACGAATCAATCAATTTTGTTAGAAAGCGGGTGTCATAAAACATTTTATTATTTTATATTTCGAACAATGTGATATAATACAGATAAAAATTATGTTTCTATATTTAAGAGTAATTTTCTTAACTAGAGTATGATGGCTACATCATACGATGTAAACAAAAATTGAAAAAGATGCGACTTACTAAATATCAAATGTTTCCATGCAACGTTACAAAAATAATATTCTTTCAAAGAATAAGCGAGACAAACAACTCGTGGCAATACGAAATACAATTTATTTATTTAATCATTGATGATATCTGGTCATTTCACACACGAATCGTGCAAAATATGGCTATTTTCTTCTAAAATTCTGTGGTAATACCATTGAAATTTTCCAGGAATAAACTTAATCTGCTTCTTTATGTTCCCTAACTTTTCCTTCGTAAGATTTCCAAATGTTTTTTGTTTTTCCTCGGGATCGAAGAATTTTAACACGCTGGTGCGCAAGGATCGTAACTTTTTTTAGTACATAGCAACCAAATTTATCAACCTGTATTCATTTGACTGTATCCTTGAAGTGAACTGCTTGGCTTAATTCATTTTTTTTCCTGTTGGTGAGTTTTAGTGATGATGCAAGGATTTCAATATCTTTAAAATGCAGTTTCATATTAATTACCAGATTTTTTTCTATTGGATTCAATGATTATTAGTCTATATTGCTTTGAGAGATAAAGATTTCGATGTTTTCGCAGAACTTTTTCTATTCGTCCGAAGTCTGTCTAAATTGAGAGATTTGTATTCGGTATCTTCTGCATCTGCATTATTTCTGTTACATAGAATCTAGGGCGAGCTTTTTAGCTTTAGTCAGCAAACTAGATTTCTAAAATATGCTTAACATCGTTGTACGATAGTAGAATCTCGCGCTGTTGTTAATTAACACTGTTTTAATAGATAAAGTTGTGTTTCAGAATCGACACAAGTCCCTGGAAAAAGGTGGTATCAAATCCGTGTCACTTTCTTCCATTGGAAAACAACGAGTCAGTCTAACACATCTTCATCTACCGAATATCTCTGCTCTGAAAGGTTAGCCATCAATGTCACCCATTGTGTACTAAAGTTCGATACATAACACTTGGATTCGTGCAGAAAAATCGACTTTTTAAAAAATGTAATATAACACCTTTATCGATTCAACCTTTCAATTATCCTAACATACCTTTTATTAATACTTCTTAATTAATTCTGCATTTTCCAATCTTTTGTGGTTTTTGTCACCATCAATTTTTAGTATTTATAGTAGTAGACAATATTTACACGAGTAGACTATTGTCGATACGGGTTAGTACGCAACTTTTCATTGGAAAAAAGAATTCCATTTCTTAAATGACGTTTTGGTTTATTAATTAATATTTCCAGATTTTCCAGTAATTCGGAATAAATATATGACGCATTTCTAAGTCGTCGTTGATCCATTATTAAAAATAACAATCAGGTGAATTTAGGATTTCCATGTTAGAAAAGTGTCAAATATTAATATTTTATATATTTTCTATCATTCGTGAAATAGGATAAGTAACTTTTACTCATTACAATATAAGAAGTGGGTGTTGATCTAAAATTAACGCTTATTCTTCGTAACTTTCCCGATCGAGTTGCTGATCAATTAATTAGGTTACGTAATAAAACGAGATGTTAATATCATTAAAATAACCTAGTAATTAATTTATTTTAAAGTTGGTGTAAAAATAAATTTAGATTTAGAGTAAATTTATCTCGGATGTTTTGACCAATGCCTCTGACTAAGCCAGTGTATATTTTAATGTGCAGTGGTAATTTAATTTTACATTGATCTTAGTTTACGTAACTGAAAGCTAAGTTTCCTTAAATTCACTTGAAATTAAGAATCAAATTGTCCTTACTTACTCGTTGCAAGAAAACAAGAAAACTGTTTACAAAATAAAAAGAAATTGATCTACATTTATTAAACGTCTATCCTTACGACGATGATTGCAGACAACAAAGACAAAAACAGTAATTTATTCGTATAACAATATAATACATTGAAATTGAAATATTCACTGTCTTATTTCTTGTATCTCTGGTCTTGTTACATGGCAGTTTCGACTAATAAGCTAAAAAAAAAAACTAGTTATACTCGTTTCTTAAGACTTTATCCTTGTTGGAAACTTAATTCCATACGTCAAAATCTTTATCAGATATAAGAATTTATGAAGCTGTAATAGTTTTACAAACAATTTTTCTCTTGTCGAATAATTGCCTACGTATCATATTCGTGTGTAATGTTAGTTATTCATTCTCTTCGAACATTATATATATATTTTATCATTTTCTCCACTGCGCTTAGCGTAGTAGTTGCTAGTTGTAGTGTTTACCTGCTTCCAAAGTATTCGGACGATGATAATGAGGGATAGTTTAAAGGAAAATTTTCCAGCTCATCAATCACGTATGTTTGTTCAAATAGTGATTATATTCCCGAACAATTGGTAGTTCGAAGAAACTAAAGGAAAAAGTTCTAATAATATAATTGATTTTAAGTATAGTTTGATTGATGGAATGTTTTTACACGCAGAATACTTTAAAACTGTGTTTTTTATGGTAAATTATAATTAATAAACGTGACGATTCTTTTGTTCTGTGGTCCTTAAGATGGACAACCAAGCTATGAGCAGAAATACTCAAATAGATGGAGACGACAGTCCATAATTAGTATTTTTGCTAGAAATTGCTTTTCTATCTTTTCTGTGAATTCGACACACGTTTCCCAGTCAATGAAACAAACTTGATAATATACAATAAATGTAAAATAAATGTATTTATTGTATGAAGTTTGTATTCTTTATTTAAAAGATCACCTAGTAAAGATTAATGCCTGGATGAATAGTTGATTATTTTCGATGTAACGCAATAAAATTATCATTAGAACGGCAACTTGTGGTTAGAATATTATTTAAAAAAATTTTTACTTCTCGTCTTCCTGGTTGAGAAATTTAAGATTTTCGTTAAACTATCGTCTTCTGACACTTAAAATGGTAAAGTTCTGTTACCCAAAACGGAAATGCTCATTGACTTAATCGATATACATTTTATCTTCAAAGAAAAACCTTTATAACTAAATTAATAAGTGGAACACGAATTCCAAAGATCAAAAGACGATAAAGCACGTGATGTGATAGCGTTGAAGTAGGTGTATACTTCAATTCACACTGATAAATTTTATCGCTATCAAGTCGTTAATTCAGAATAAGTTTTCTAAGATTATCGGAATTAGAATTACAGGACTCGATTGATGTTCAGACCGGGATTAACTTAATACCTTTGTTTATTGGAGTTAATCCCACCAGTGGATTCATTTCATTAAACATAAACCAGACAATGACGTGGTAGATCGACTTCGCAATCAGAATTTAAGCTTATTTGGATATATTATAACCTCTTGTAAAGGTTATATTAATATATAACCTTCACAAACGTCCAGCAACGAGTTGCGTAACTTTCTCCGCAAGAATTAAAATTACGTATGATGCCATTATAATTCATTAAAAATTTTATATTATATTAACGATTATAAAAGGCTTAGTTTTGAGTTAGAGAATTTGACCTATTAAGGTTCGAAGTGGGTGAATACAATCGTGTCCCGCACACACGCACATACATACATAAAAAAATCCAACTTGTTTGCATTTCTCGACGTTTTCAAGGTTCCGATTCTAGAAATGTAAAAATCTTGGACCATTTTTCGATTGATTGCCGTACTCTGCTATATATAACTGCCGGGAAAGTAAAAACAATACGAAAGTCCATTCATTATCTACACTAATAAAACAGATGGTCACACGGCCAGGCTGTTGCAATGAGGAATGCGCGCCCGAATCCACGGAATGCTTTATAAGTTACGTTATGACGGATGGTTTGCATCGAAGCATCGTTCTTTATCGTCACCAATGCTCATTGACTCTGTGCAGACTAAATTATAGAATTGACAAAATTCGACATCGGCCATAAAACGTGCTCAGTGCTTTGCATTAACAAATAATCGACGTAGTGGTTTCAGAAGAATTGATGGACATAATCAATTTCCTGGAATTAGTGTGTCCTGCAAATGAAATCATAAAGAATTAGGCCTGAATGTGAACCCAAATGTGTGTAATTAAATCAATATTCTATATTTAATCAATCAAGAATATCACTGTGTAGGTCGTTTCTAATATCAAGATAACTATGATTTTCAATGAAATTAAATAACAAGGTGTATAACTCCTAAATAGAGGATAATTTCTCAGAAAATTCTCCCGTGGGGCATCCCTTTGTATCACCACATATCGCGTTGTTTTATCCCATCAATGAAGAGCCCTGTACCCTCTTCAACCAGTTGTGCTTTGTGGATTGCAATAGATAGGTGCACCTTTGCAAAGTTAATAGTAATATTCTTGACTGGTTGAAGAGGGAATAGGACTCTTCATTGTTCATAAACATAAAG